CACACACACACACACACACACACACACACACACACACAGTCTCTTTATTCTTAAAGTGATAAACATGTCAGGCTTGATTTTTCTTTTTCCTCTTTAGCTTATTTAATGTGGTAATATGGCCTGCCTTTAAAGGGGAAGTTGGGGGTATATATATATATTTTAGTGTGAAACTAGATGTTCTAAGTGATTATTGTGAAATTGTGTTTGTTACTTTAGAAAAGGAAAATGACTTTTCATTTAGCAGATTCCTGGGCAGATTCAGTATTTATGAATTACGTGCTTTTGCTTAATCCAATGAATAGGTACTAAATGTTTCATACTGATATCTGGAATTTATGCACGTGTAATTTGGTGATTCCATTCTTCTGGTAGGAATTAGGAGTGGTAGTTTTTATAACAGTACATTAGCTGCGTTTGTAAATTAATAAAAATGGCTTTTGAGAAATTGGCATAGTTTAAATTCTTTTTCCTAGATTTCCCCCTAGATTTTCTAGACTTCTCAGATTATTTTTCCAGAGGTTTCTGGATTGCAAGAATCTTTTGGTCAGAGTAAGTTAAGAACAGTGTTAAACACTGTAAATCTACTCCATTAATAGTTTAATCATCTCTGTGTTGGCCACAGTGTTATTTACTTAACATGAAAGAACTACTGGATATAGTTTTAAATATTTTTCTTACGTTATGTAGGTCATAAACTTTCCAAGGCTCCTTTCACAAAATGGTTTTTAAAAACTTTTTTTGCATATAGTCCATGTTTTCGATGCATTTATGATCTTTTTAATTTTGCTACCACCATATAATTTCTCTTATTTTTGTTTACTATTTGTTCATAAGCTGTGTGTTGCTTCCTGAATCTTAAAATTTGAAGTTTCTTCTGAGTCGGTGCTTCGATGTGGAATTCTTTCGTAACTTCAGGAAGTTATTATAGAACAATTACCATTAGTGACCTCTAAGTGAATGCTGCACACTTAATGAATTATTTTATAGACAGCCCGAAAAGAGCTAAGCTGATCCAAAAGAATAATTGTAAAATATCAGCGACTTAAAGGTGAATATACAAATAAAATAAAATAATTATTTTCCTAATTCTTTCCCCTCCCTCCCAGACCTAAACTAATCTTAAAGAATCTGTTACTGCTTTTACTTTGCCTTTCATATACAAGTCTTCAGAGGGCAGACATGACAGTTCCCCTGGTGTGTGTGTGACTGTCACTTTGAGTCTGTCTGTCCTTCAGTCTGCCTTATTGCAGAGAGTGGCTGATGGAGAGATGGCTGGGGCTGCAGGACTGGGGCGGCCTTCGTAGCTCTCCATTTCCTGGCTGCCCGCCCTCTGTATCAGATGATAGCAGCTTGTTGAGGTGGTCTTGACACTTTAAGGGACCAGTATTTGAATAAAGACCCTAATTTTATTATTGCTGTGTTGATACTGATCATGTATAATCAGATCATCTTTATGTTATTAGTTAAATGTTTGTAAGGATGATTTGTCCTAGAGTTTGGAAGCAGTGTCTTAAAAGGTTAAGTAAATGTATATTATTAAAGTCTTGGATATGTAAAAGCAAGATCAGGCTCTTTTTTGTCTGGGAGTGTATGCTATTAGTAAAGAATAGGTGATAAAAAGTTACCTGCTCTGTGTTCGTGTATCTGCCTACTGTCCTTTATCTGATAAACGTCAACAGGGTGGAACGAGAGGGATATATAGAAATATTCAAGGTGGTTTGGTCCAGCATAGAAATCCAAAAAAGAAGCTAAGGCTTAAGCCAGCGTCAGAGAAGTCCTAGGGATTTTAAGATATTTTTTTTAGTGTTTACCTTTGGAAATCCAGAGGCACTTAATTGTTTACCATTTTAAAAAATTTTGAAAGAATTGTCATGTTTTAGTGGTATGTGTGGAAAGATTCCTCTCTGCCTCTACACTTATAGAATTGCTAGTTCAAGTTCTCACATTTGATAAAACTTTGACCTTGAGGTATCTGTATTGGTTAAGCAGGTCTGTAAAAACAGTGCTGTGAAGTCGGTCCGAGTGTGAAAGGCAGGGAGAATGGCCCTGACGCAGGAAGTTACTTCAGTAACTACTTCTAGAGTGTTAGTGTCCACAGTTCAGAGGTGCTTAACTAAGGCGCTATTTGGGGATGTGTGTAGATATTTTTGATTGCCAATACCAGTGAAGGTACTAGTGGTCTTGCACCAAGGCAGTGCTCAGTGGCCTTAAAGGAAGGGACAGTCTCCCCTACAAGAGTTGCCCGTCCCAAAATGCAGTGGTTCTCAGAGTCTCAATTCTTTTGTTGTAGCATCCCTTGTTTTTAGTGTAGATTAATAAAAAATTTAACTTAAAAATATCATTTCAGAAGTCATTGTTGGATTTGCAGTGCTTATTATATTGTAAAATATTTTAGATATATAATTTGACAATGTTGTGAGTCAAGAGAGAGAGAGAAAAAAATGAGGATGTGGTTTTTTAGCCATTAGGATTAGAAGTGATTGACAGGAGAGTCCGAGCATGTAGGCATGTAGTAAACTCTTTAAAAAAAGATGTTAAGATCCTTCTTTCTCTGGAAAGAAATGATTATTACATTCCTGTTTGGACAAAGAGGGAACAGACAGTATAGAAAGTCAGAAGATTACTAATCATATAACAATCTGAATTATATTGTAAATATTTTTATTTAGAAAAAGTTGAGGTTCATTGAGATTAGTAAAAGAATAAAATGTTTTAAGTGCAGTGGCCTTGTATTTGCAGGTTCTGCACCTGCAGATTCAACCAACTAAGGATTGAAAATATTTCGGGGAGAAAAATTAGGTTGTTGCTGATGTATACTATGGGGTTAGACCTGCGATGATTGTGTCTGTACTGAATGTTTACAGACTTTTTTCCTTGTCATTATACTCCAACTAACACACTGCAACGGCTACAGGGTGTCCCCTCAGAAATGTATACACACTGTACAGTTGATAGCTCTATTTTGAAAATGAAATGTATCTTAATAAACACTGCCTTTATAATTATTCAAAGTGTGTGTATACACTTTTTTGGGACACCTTATATTTACACGGCATTTAAATTGTATCAGGTATTATGGGTAATCTAGAGGAGATTTAATGTGTCTGGGAGGGTGTGCCTGTGCAAGTTCTATGCAAATAGACCATTTTATTTAAGGTGCTTGAGCATCCGAGGAGTTTGTCATCTGTGGTCCTGGAACCAATTCCCCAAGATACTGAGGGGCTACTGTACTTTAGTATTTTAGTTACGTGGTTTCAGATGTCAGGGTATCTCAGTTGTTTGAATTGTCCTGTGAGCTAGCAGCTGCAGAAGGGGAGGAAAAGGAAGGGAGAAAAGTGTTATTTTAAAAGAGAGGAAAAAGCAAATGAAAAGCACATGAAAAGAAGGAGGCAGCACCTCAGAAAACGGCAGATCCATTCTCCATGTCCTTAGGGTGAAGACCCTGGTGTCGTCCCTGACGTCCTCTCTTTCATACCTGGCATCATATCTGGCATCAAATCTTAGGGCCCTATTTTTAAAATAGACCCAGGACCCAGTTCTCACATTTTTGCTACTACCTGGGTCAAGCCACTATCATCTCTTGCCTAGATTGGGGCATTAGCCTCCTAAGAGGTCTGCTTGCCTCCACACTCTGCAAATTATTCCACCTGGTATTTCAGGTACCCACCTGGCACCATACATAGTTACTACAATATCATTACCCATGTTCCCTATGCTGTGCATCCCTGTGACTGCTTTGTAACTACCAATTTGTAGTTTTTAGTCTCTAAGCCTAAGTCACATTTGGTCACTTCTGCCATCTTTAGCCTCCCAGTGCTTTCCATCTCTGGGTGGAAAAGCTATAGCCATTCTGGTGAGCAGTGCTTACCTTGCAAAGCATTGTGGCTCTTTCCAAAGATCTTTCATTAAAACATTTGCATTTTACTATAGGATTTTTTTGCTCCGTTCCTCAAAGAGAACACCCCGTCGCCAAAGTTCGTAAATCCACCTATAAAAGCTTAGTGAGAGGGCAAGTGAAAACCCTGACGTTCTTTTCACTATAGGGTCCTACGGTGTCTCAAGATTTCTCCTGGTGGAGCCGCGTGTTAGGAGCCGTTTGTGGTGGAGGAGGTCAGGCTGCACGCCCCTGGCCACTGATCTCAGGACTCTCAGACACCTTGAAAGGATCAGTTATATTCAGTATAGGGTGTCTTGAAGAGGCACGTGTGTATGAGAAAGAAGCTCAGTATTAGATTTGAAAGGAATGGGCCTCATGGGTTGACCTCCAGTTATCTGAATTTGTATCCACTGGGTATTTATTTACTACAAGTTCATATCGGTTTGGCTGGACTGAGCCCTCTAACAAGATGCAAGTTTTAGAATGCATTTCCTGTGCCAAGTCTGAATAAAAGCTAGTTCAGATGACCAGGCCCCAACTTAAATATAGTGCCTTTGCTTGTTGAAGGTGATCAGGTGAGTGTGGTTAAATAGCTCAAGGAAAAAACGCCGAACTGTCCTCACTAATGAAGGGAGGATAAAATAGCAAAGCGCAATTCTTCATGACAGTGGGCAAGCAGTGTTTTCTTCTAGTACGAATAATGGCATTGAGTTACCTGTTCCTTGGTTTATTAGCTGTTAGAGCATAAAGTTCCAAGGTGAGCAGTGTCTTGGGAACCTAGGAGGGAGAGAGACTCTAAGTCAGTTAATGAAGGAGGAGAATTAGGCTTGATGGTGTGTGTATGTATACGTGCTGAAAACCCAGAATGTCACAGTGGAAGTGCTGCTTAAATGGCCTGATTTTCGTTTACAATGAAAGACTGCAGTCCACTCCCAGATGTATGTTGCAGAGAGCACCGTCTTCAAAGATCATTATTTAGAACAAGTATGTCACATGCATTTGTAAGAAACCATTTTGTCTTGTTATTTTGTCTTGTATATTGAAGAAAAATTTAAAGGAATAATTGTAGTTCTTTTCCAAACAGTTTTATTGAAATATTTGCATTTTACTGCAAGGTGTTTGTTCTGTTTCTCAAAGAGAACTTCCTATGAAAATGTTATTGAGTCCACCTTTCTACTTTAGGAACTTGAAAAACATAATTTAAAGGGGTCTGATTGTGTTTGTATTCAACACAGTGTTGATATGAATAAGAGAAGGACAATTAAATTGCACAAGTTACGCAGCAGGCTTTGTGTTTCTAGTAACAAAGCTAATTTATTTCTTCTTAGGAGTGATGCAATTCCAAAGCAAAAGTTTGATGCCATTCTAATGAGTCTGCTTTCAATTGTAGAGCACAATGAAGCCCTGGTAAAGATTAGTCAGAATCTATTTTATTGTAGCTAATAAATCTGTGAAGTAAGCTCTCAGTATAGATTGAAGGTGCTCTGGCATGGAGTTGCTTTATGAATAGCCCTTTGAGCAAACTCTACGTTTCTGTATGTGGTTTTAAATCACTGTAAATTTGTAGGCAGGTACATATTACAATTGTCTGTTTTTCTTTTTAGGGCTCATGTAATCAAAGAAGTTTTTGTTGTGTGTATCTTTTCAGAACACAACAGGAATTGAAAATGAATCAGGTGAGTTTAAATATAAGAATTTATACAAATACATTACCTAGATGTTAGACCAGTTCTTGATTTTTAAAAGATAGTAACACACACATTCATTGCTCCCAGATTTTCCTTTCTGTTCTTAATGCCATTAATGAATTGATTGCTTTCATAGTGTGCATTTGTTCCTGGAGTAGAGCGTGCATTTGGGGACATTTCTGTGGATCCCTGAGTAGACTTATTCATTCTTAGGGACCTTAGTTTAGATTTTATTTTTTTCCCTCTCCTCTGCTACACTCTGGTGTTAATTTTTTGTTTTTGTTTTTAAGCTTATTAGGCTTTCATTTTTAATACTTTTTATTTTGTAATTTCCCATTGGTTGAAAAGAGAGGATTGAAAGTGCTTCTTGTTTTTTTTTTTAGAGACCAAAATTGATCCAATGGGAAACTTTAAGCTGTTCTGTCCTTGAAAAACCTGTTTATGGAATAGAAGCGAGGGCAGATACTGAAGCGTTGGATGTGCTTTTCCTTTGGGGGTTGGGGTTACCTGGAGAGGGAATGGTTCTGCTGCGGCCACTTCTGTCACCTTAAGGGTGTCTGATAAGTAGAACCAGTTATGTGGATTTAATATATTCTAAAGTAGGGTTCTTATTTTCTGATCTTAATATTACTCACTTGCAGTTATAGAAATGTATGGGTGTCAGGAACATTCCCTTTTGAAATCTTTATAAACACATCTTTTAAAAAATATGAAGGACAAAACTTAAAAATGTGAAACCTAATTTTTAGTGCTTAGTTTAAAACTATCAGACTGGAAAATATTTTGTATCCCTCATCAACTGAAACTTCGGACACCTTTTATCATTTACAGGTGCCTCTAACTGAGATCACAGGTCCAGTTTTATTAGGTGGCCAAGTTTAATAAATTCAGTCCTGTGTTGCATTGAGAGATGTGAAATTTTTGAAATGGATTCTTTGATTTCTTTTCATTACTTTCTTTATCAAAATATGTTTATTTTAATGCAGAGGACCATACGTCATAAAAACGAATCTGGTGAACACATGGGGCACATGGTTTCTATTATTTTAAAACTTGCAGATTTACTGACATGCTTTTGAAGGCAAATTGTTTTTGAAATGGTAAAATGGGGGAGGGAAAGAGAACAGTGGATTTTCACAGTCATTGCCCATCAAAGTGGGGTGCATATATATGTCATAGATTTCGTTTATTTTCCTATTTTAAGACTAATTCTTAATGTGAACCTTGTCACCCAACAGAACTTTCTTTTCTAATGGCCTAGGAACTGTTGTTAGAAAAGTCTTGATTTTGGGTTTGAATGATCGTGAAAGTTTCCAAAATCGAATCTAAATACCAACGTTGCTTTTGTTGCCACTTCATTCAGCAGTCATTTATTTCAGTGGCTGCAGCTTTAACTTAGGCTTAATAATGCTCTAATTCTTACATCTTATTAGGCGATAGTATTTTATTTCTAATATTTTATTTATTTGACACCTCACACTTTTGCTTTAATATTTCATTTATATCAACTGAACTTGTGTTTAAAGAAAGTCCACATGCCATTCAGAAGAGTTGTAACCGTTTCTTTTTTTGGCTCTTTTACAATTTCATTTTGCTTTTGACAAGTTTTAATATCAGATCTGCAGAGGACTGCCTTTGATGCCAAATGCCAAATATCAGTGGAAAGGGTCCTCTTATGTTTCTAATGGTTAGCACATTTCTGATGTGGGTATAATTTAAATGGTCTGGTAGTAATGAAACTTTTATTTGTATTATAAAAATTGTCCACTTTATGAGTAAAATTTTCAGCATCTTTAGTTATATTTCCATTATTTGAGGAATATTAGTTTACATGATGTTTAGTCCTGATTATTATGTCATGGCATAACATCTGCATGTGTTTTTCAACAGTTGTCCCAGTAATTTTTAAAAATTAAGAATTGTTTCAGGACATTTTATGTTTTTCCCTCTTGTATTTATTATTCTCATTTGCAGCCAGTGAAAATAAGCAGTAAATGCTTGAAAACTTCAAAATAACTACACAAAATGTGATATTAAAAGTTTTAATTTGAATTTGATTTGTAATTCAAATCTTGATGGTGAGTTTAGGGTTAGGTTTTTCTCTCTAGGGACTGATCTGCATTGGTTTGATAAGTGTTAGCTTATTTGTCCCTTGTGATGGGTGTGGTCTCTAAGACAATAACACAGAATCATTCATTCATGTGTGCCTGGCAGCAAGTTTTAGGGACTAAAGGATCCTGGAAGTGAGCATACCAGTGAGCATACCATATTGTTACCGTATTGCTTACAAGTGAGCCCTTTAGAGGAACCGAGTCCACAGCCCGAAGCCTCCTGGTATTGTAAGCACTGACTGTTGAAGCAGCGCCTCGGATCGCTCAGTGTTAGCAGTGCGTTTCCAGTCATTCCTGGTGCAGTCACTGGCCAGGCTTTCCCTCTGTCCCCAGCCCTGGGCTCCCTGAGACCCACATGCCCTTTGTCCTTCCTTCTCTTCTGGTCTGTTCCCCACTCAGCACTTACCCCTTCTCACTGTCTCTCACCTTCCCAGTTTAGAACCCCGTTTGCTCTGTGTGTGCGCCTTTGTTCCTCTGACTGTGCCCGGCCTGGCCGGAGGGCGGGAGCACCGTCTCTGCTTCCTCCCCTTGCTGTTCCTTTTCTTTTCTCTCCGTTTGCAAACCATAGGTGCTCCTTACTCCACTCACCTTCCACAGCCACCTTAGTGTTTAACTTTAACATGCTCCACCATTTTCTCTCCTTTCCTGGATTTATCTGGGAGAATCCAGAACTTCGTGAACGGCGCTCTCATTGAATAATGAGCTTGGAATGCTTTGCAGGGGCCCCTCACCTCCTCTCCGCCAGCGCCCTTTGTTTATAACGCTGGTGAGATGACTTAGGAAGTTAACTCCTCTTTATGTCACTAAGCCGGTGGTGAAATTGGTTTCATTTTACTACATTTCACTTAAAGTTGCAGAACCTACCAACTATATTAAATGAGGACTTAACTGTACCTTATAGAGCATCCAAGGTGAGTGAAGTTCTTTGAAGCAGCTGTGCTCATATTGGCTGAAGGTAGACATGTTAGAGTTTAATACCATCTTCCTATCTATTCATTGCTTACCCAACATGCCTGGCACTTCGTTAAGTATTGTGCATACATTTTCTTATTAATTCTGCCTTTGCGCCCACCCTATGAAACATAGGTTTCATAACCCCTTTATGGATGAAGACATTGAGGCCCAAACAGGTGGCCTGGCTTGCTCATGATCATTCACACAGTGAGCGGTGGACCTCTGAGCCACACCCAGGCCTGTCAGATTCCAAAGCCCACGTACCTGCTCACCATGCTGTACCCATGTCAGTCGGGATAAGCTGTGTTATGCTGTGCTGACAGGCAGCTCCAGAATCTTAGGGGCTAATACAGCAGCCGTTTGTTCCTTGTTCTCAGTATACATCCACGGTGGGTCTGCTCTTGTAGTTGCTCAAAACCAAGGATGTTGGAGGCTGTGTCTCAACACGTGCCCCTTTTATGCACATCCAGTTGGCCAAGGTTAGTCATATGGCCACATCTAGTGTAAACTCAGGGGGAGCAGTGCAGTCTGCCAGGTGCCAGGGAGGACAAGGGAACTGTGATACTTGGATGCAACTCCAGTGATTCCAGCTTTATTGAGATACAATTAACACATAACATTATGTAGGCTTTAACCTTGATGATTTAATTCAATGGCCCTGATTACTAATTTCCTGAGCCACACTTGATTTTCTAAAAAGAACCTTTGTATAACTCAAATTGTTACTAATATTTGAAATTTCTATCAATGTAGCGGCTTATGATTGCAGCATCTCTGTATCCTGATCAATAACCTATGGTATTGTCAGTCACCAATAGCAGAGCAACCTAGCAATTTAGCCTTTTAAACTTGTTTTAAAGTTTTATATAACAGAATCTCAAAGGAAGGCTTTGATCACTAGATGTTGCAGATCTAACCCCGAGAATTGTGATAAGCCATCCATCCATAGTTCCATCATCTTAACTGTCCTGAATGTTCACTCATCCCGCCTCTCATCCCGCCTCGACTGCACCCCAGTGTGCTGTGGATCCGCAGTGAACTGGGTAGGCAAGGGTTCTGCTCAGAGGGAGACATCGCGGAAGCAGGAAGAGAACTGCAGACAGTGATGGTGCAGCAAGGTAGTGCGGGCGCGGTAAAGACGGTGGGCCAAGGTAGGGGAGGGTTTCTGGATTACAGGGTCAGAGAAGGCTATTCCGGAAAGGTGATTAACAACAGAATAATAAGAAATTAATAGAATTCTTAATAATTGAATAGTAGGCCCACGTTTTAACCAAGAACCAGATGTATGAGAATCTGGGGAAAGAAAATTCTAGGCCGAGTGAACAGTGAGTGCAAAGGCCTCGAGGTGGGAATGAGCTTGCCGTTTCAGGACACAGCGCACAGCATCTGGGACTTTGGGGGAGAGATGAAGTTGGTATGAGGGGCAAGGGCCAGATCTATAGGTCCTCAAAGGCTATGGGAAGAAGTTTATGTTTTATTCTGAGTTCAGTGGGAAGCCACTGGACAGTGACATGCTTTCATTTCCGTCTTTGGAGTATCATGCTCACTGGGCCGTGGAGCCTGGATTGCAAGGAGTAAGAGTGTGGAAGCATGTTTGTTCACCGTGGAGATAAGTACCGTGCTTCAGGACATTCTCTACCCTTGGACAGTTCCGTGGACCTGCCAGCTTTGTGGAGGGGGTACTTTTTGACGTTTCAGAGCTATTTGCTCTTCTCTTCCAAAGACGGGCACAGAACTGTCTTGTTCTGTGTCCCCATCTGTTTGTGGTTATTGCAGTCTTACTCTTTTCTTAACCAAATACAGTTTAATGCCATTTCAGTAAACTGAGGCTTGTTTGATTTACCCCTCCCCCATTTTGCCCCAAGAATGGTAGTTAAGAGTCTCGATTACAAGTTTAAACAGAGCTGTTCACAGAATTTGAAT